GGGTGGGTTCCACTTTGCTTCACACCCTCCACAGCAAGTCCCAAGGGAAATGCTCGTTATTTGTATTCTGTACACAAGAGGGTGTGGAAAACATGTAATGATGTTTCCATTGCCTGAAATCTTTTCCTAATATTTTCCCCACTGCAGCCTGGCCTGGCCCCAGGAGTTACAATTTGAAATGCTCCCGTCAACAAGAAAGCAGACAAGCAGATAAGCTTTGCCAGCTTGGTCGGTAGTCTTTCTTCCACTCTTGTAACAGTGTGGCAGGGCTGGAGGTAAAAGCTGTCATCCTGCAGTTTTGGTACCCACACAACAGCTTCACAGAAGGATGCTCCCTTAGGTGCAGCAAGTGCAGTTAAATCTGCAAGCACCCGAGAAATCCCATCCAGGCGTTTCAGCTGAGAGTCACCGTGCTTAGCCTGCCCTGTTTTCCACCTCACTCACTGCACTTCTGGGTTTTTATGCCCACAATCTAGAAAAAAAAAAACAGCTAAATTCTAGTGGAATATACAACTGTGCAAACAAAACAAAACGTGTATGTTCTTGCCAGAAAATAAATCAAAAATAAGGTTTCTCAATCAATCAAAACAGAAATCAATCAAAAATAAGGCCAGTACTTAAACTTGGCATTTCGAGATTACAAACTCTTTAGGAGCACTAATGAATTGAGCCTCAGTAGCTGCATGGGCTAAATACAAAATGGCATGGATTATTCTGCACTTGAAGACACAGAAAAAGACACAGCCATTAAATGACTCACCAGGTATTTATGACCACAGGAAAAAAAAAAAATCAAAGGAGAAACGACTGCAGTGGTTTAAGATCTGGCCTTCTTTTTCCTTTCTCTCTTCCCCCCACTTTCTCAGCTATTTGCTACTACGAGTCAGCAGAACAGACCCTGGGAGCACTTCACCCTGGCTTCAACACAAACCCCATAAACACTCCTATAGTCAGGATTTTCTGATCAGGAGGTGCCAACTAGTGATGCCTGGGGAGAAGGGACATAGTAGAGCCTGCACTGCTATTGCTGCCAGCCAAGCTGCCAGCCCCACACCATTTATCAGCACTAAACACAGTTCCAAAGGGGAAAAAAAAAAATAAGCAGCAGTTTCCTAATTGGATGTAAACCATGCAGCTAACATACCAGGGCTAGCAGCTAATTGACAGTGTTGCATGCCCTAATGTTTCTAGTTAATCTAATCCATTTCAAGAAAAGTAGGAGCAAGCTCCCCGGGGGTGGGAGGGATCCCAAATTATAATGTACAGAACATCTTTCCATACAGGGCTAGCTAAACTTTAAAAGAGCTTTAGGAAAAGCAAAGAGAAATTCTTACACAGTTCAACTGTCCTATGACCTCAGTGTTTCATCCCAAAAGGTCAAACCTAATCTGATCTTCAAATGCCTTTGAGTCAAATTTCAGCTTCAGCAAAATCCTTGACAAACCATTTGGAGACATGCAACAGCTACAGCTTCCCAGAAGACACCAGCACCCAAGGAGAAAGCACTAGCATGTAGGTGACTTGTTCCCAGTACAGTTGTGCCCAAAATCCATTCTCACCAGGCTTAAGGCCATGCAGGAGCTCTGAACAGAAACAAGCTGTCCTTTGCACCTGAATATTTCTGAAGGTGCGCACTCAAGTAAGGAAGCAGTTTTCCTGTTACAAGCTGCCAGGGGGTAGTTACTAACAGGAGACAATTTTTAAAGAATGAAAACCTGCTTTGAAGGTAGACTCCCACTCTTCACAGTCACAGGCCTGTCTGCCTCAGGCTTTGTACACCTGGAGCCCAATCCTGCAAACGCCCCATAACACTCCCCTCAAAGGCAATGAAAGGTTCGCAGGATTGCACTTCACGTTCTGCTGGGTTACCTTTTTTGGTGCTTTCTTGGACACCCAGGAGAGACCAGGCAAGCCCTGCAGATGGACAGCTAATGCTGCTGTCTGGCCCTCTCTTTCTTATGCATATATGGTTGCCTGTTCCTCTTCGTTCACATGCAGTGATCAATGTACCAAGCTGCCCCCTTAGTGGATAGGAGTTACTATCTCCACTGATCTCTGATAGAAATTAGAACACGAGCACCCAATGGAACAGTTTTACGTGAGCAACTACCAAGAAATCAGAGTATTTTAGGCAGCTCCAGGGCATTCAAATCCTATTTGTCCTGCAGGAAGGAAGGAAGGGAGCAGAGGTTCACTTCTCTGCAATGGAACAGATTCCCTTGGGAAGCAAAATCTCTCCAGGGCATGTGGCATTTTAAGCCTTCCTGAGCGCAAGGAGGTTGGGTTTTTTTGTTTGTTTGTTTTTATTATTATTATTATTACTGTTTTTTACCTGTGACAACACAGATTAACACTCACCCCAGTTGGACACAAAAAGCCAAACCAGTGTCAGCATTACCAGAAGAATATGAGTTGTACTGCTCCCTGCCACCTGTGCAAGCCACCCAAAGCCAGGAAAACCAGTCACATCAGACAAGAGATGCTCCAACATACATCATTCGGGGTGGGGGTAACTTTGCACAGAGTTAGATTTTGGTTTTTGTTCAAACACATCAAACCCAGAGCCCTCCACCGTGCTACTGTGTTGCAGTGCCTGGTTTTGCAGGGATCAGCTACACAGGCTGCACCTCTCTGGTTGCACACATGGAAGGGCAAACCCTGGAAGACTTTCAGCCAGGCTCTTGATAGACCGTCACAGAATATCTCTTCATATGACAGAAGCAACCTCCCAGCATGCAGCCAGCAAAAAGAGCTTTGCCCTACCTTTCTAGTCTCACCACCTGGAACTGGCCGCGCAGATCCCTAACCATGTATTGGTACAGATGGATGCTGACCAGCGGGCCTCCCTGCCATGCATGGCCCTGTGAATGAGACTTCAAGGAATAAGACATCTTCCCATCTTAATACACTTTAATTTTCCCTCTACTGGTAGCCAGGGGAACTCAGAAGCCCTCTGTCCTTTCAAATTGCTTGCTTTCCAGCGACACTATTGCATCGTCTATCAGTGCTGCACAAGAAATAAAAGCAGAAGGGAAGTTACCTCATTCTCAGGCTGCTCTGTGTCAGAATACTGCTGTGAGCATCTGAAGTAGCAAATGCAGAAAATCTCTTGTTCTCCTAATACACACTCATTGTCAAAGTGTATTCAGACTACACAGGGCTCTCCTCACATCAGCTCCTGCATCCGTTACTGATGGTATTGATTTCACCAAGACTAATCCTGTGAATGAAGGCTGTGGAATTGATCCCCTTGCCATTGCATGCTGCAACAAAGAGGAGTTTTCAGGAAATACAAATTATTGGTTTTTTTTTTTCTCCTGTTCATGATTTAGATAATATGTTAACATGCAGTTGGTGGTGGTGGGGTTTTTTGTTTGTTTGTTTTATCAGCAAGGACACCTGCCTATCAGAAACCCTCCCCCCAAAAGGCAGACCTGTTACCTTCTTTGAGTATCTTGAAACACTTCACCTTAAAGGCAACTTAATTAAGCAAATGGACTACTCGCTTCCTTGAAACATCACCCCCTTTGTAATTTAGGTCAAAACAGTCCATCTGGTTTTGTGTATGTAGTTTTAGGATCCCATTCCATCTCTCAATGGCAGAAGGAAAAAGTATGAGATTTGTCTGCAGATGTGTACCCTCACACAGCAACCTAGTGCTACATTTAAAGCAACTGAGAAAGAATGGGAATGCATGCAGGGTTTCAGGGTTCTGTGACAGCAAATCATACAAGCACAATCATTCACTATATGGTATCTAAAATAGACAAATTATAATACACAGTTTTCACAACAGAAATACTGCCTCCTTATTTTCTTTGAGCTGCTGCCAAGGAGAGAATGGGTTATTTTCACAAATTGTTCTGCTATATGCCTCTTAGCAAGAAAAGCGCTTTCAGCTAGGCAAAATTGCATAAATACTGCACAATTAAAATAAATATTCCACAAGAAGTCTTTCAGAAGAGTTATCTTGCCCATTTCTCCAAGCAACACATAATATGACATATGAGAATAATCAATTCTAGCACTGTAGGTCTGGTCAGAGGTTGTTTGTTCGGTCAATGTGCATCTCTCCCAAGTCTCCCTCTGCAGCTAACTTCATCCCTCCTTTCATTTTCCCATCTCTTTCCCCAAGAAACTCCCTGCTACACAGAATATCGTGCTAGCAGCAGCCAGCCTTGCACAATGCTTTCAAGCTGCCCGAGCATGTCAAAGGAGCTGGAAAGGAGAGCCTGCACGCCGGCTCTGCGGAGCAGCGCTCTGACTGACACGAGCACAGAGCGATACTTTTAAGAGCTCCGGTCCCACCCAAGTGCATTTTTTTCTCCCCCTTTTAACAGGAAAGACAACTTCACAAGAAACTTTCTGGCAATATGCGGCTGTGCATGCTGAAGGCTGAAAACAAAAACGGATGCTGTCTATTGTCAACAAAATTTCTATGAAAGGCTGCCATGGCAGACATCTGCAGCAGCAAGCATCAGATCACTTACATTAACCAGAGCTTTACTGTATCTGTATCAGTTACACCACGAGACTGCCTTTGCAGCCGTGCTGCCCCGAAAGCCCAGGTACTATGTTGCAAAATAAAAAGCAATTCAGCTGTTACCATGCCAAAGACCTTTTTATTGCAATGCTTTTATATATTTATATACATATATATAAAGAAAAGTTAAAGGGAGGGCAGACAGGTTATTGCCCCATGCACAGTGGGACCGGCACACGGAGCCGGCACCGACCTGCCCCACAGCCACAGCCTTGCCCCCACAGCTCCACGTACAGGTGGGTCCACCAGGGTGGGCGAGCTCGCAGCCCTCCGTCTGCCCCAGCCCTCCAAGGACAGCGGGAAAGGGGGGGGCAATGGGGAGAGGAAAAAGAGCATCCGACACCGTCAGACCATTTCCACTGCTCATTATATTTTGCATGCTGCTTAATCTCTAGGCACGATGCAAACGCAGTCAGACCGGCTCGCTCCCAAACAAACACGTATCATAAGCCCTTACCTCTGCGGTGCAAAGTTTTCAACTAGTAGGAAGGAAATGAATAACTGGCTGCTTGGGCAGGAGCGCAGCAAGAAAGGCACACCAGCAGCCTCACACACAGCCCTATTCAATAAAACTGCAGCCTTTCCTTGGCCCCTCCCAAAAGTCAATGCTAAGTGAATACATATCCCTTATGTTTACAATTGGCAGGCAGCGGTATGCATTGTCCTCAATTTATTCTAATAGGCAGCCAATGACTACGCACAAGCCAAGGTGGGTTCAGCCTGCCTGCAGAGATGCCTGTCATTCCCTAGGCATGCTCAGGAAGCCACTCATCAGAAAACCAAGACCTAAAAAGCTCCGAAAATTCATGCAAGCTGCCAAAACTGTCTTGCTACATGCCCTTTTTTGGTTATCCTTAGCAGGGCCTCTGAAAGTAAATCCTCTGTCAGGAACAATCATAAGAAATGTTAATCTTGGAGAAAGAGGCTGTCTTGTTGAACACAAACGGAGCTTAAAAAAGGAAATACACTGAATGGAAAGGGACACAGTAAACATATTTACTTTTTGCACCAGAAGAAAAAAAAAATCAAATAAATAATTTCACTACAGCCAAACTTCTTTGTATTTTTATAACGAGCACCACATGTAAAAGGGAACACAGAAATGCTCCGCTGTGTAAGCTTGATTCTGCAGAAAGAGAGACACCAGTGGGAAAGGCACATGAAAGATGAGTTGGCAGGCTCCGCAGCCTGTTTCCATTTCAAATAGCGCAACAGAAGTCACATATAGAATATCCATGTTCTGAAAAGTAACTTTAAAAGGGATTCAAAACTTTGACAGCGACCCTTAGCAAGTCAGGGCAGTTGGATGAAGAGGTTTCTTTTCTAGGCGTACAGCTATATTTATGTATACATTAAAACAGGTTCATTTACTGCGAGAATACAGCCATACCTCTACATATTCTGACAATACTTTTCACTGTCTTTCACTACTATGGATAGAGTAAGCATAGATTTATTTTTATCTTTTTTTTTTTTTTTTAGGGATCACACAGTATTGATAACTTTCCAAATTATGCAGACAGCTTGAAATGAAAGAACAGATGTAGTCTGATACTGGAAACAAATGAGCTACATAAATTAAGAGAGTGCAAAAAGAAATCCGAAATTATTGCAGTGCACAGACCCTAACACATGTACCAGCCACTGAGTAAAGCTGAAAGAGAACTGCTGACTGCTCCAGAGGACAGGATCAGGATTCCAGACCAGGGATATTCTGCAGATTCATATTTGACAATAATATACACAAAACCAGTTAGGGGGAAAATATGTGTAAGATGACTTCGCAGCTGAGTGGTCTAAACTATTTTAATGCCTTTCTGGGTCTTTTTTTCTGGTCACTGAGCCCCATGGATTTAGTCACATGTGTAATGCAAGAAAGATTCAGTCCACAGACAGTAAACTAATCTTTACAACATGAGAAAAATATATCTTTAAAGAGCTAAAGCTATGCAGAATTACACCAAGCAACCCCAATTTTCTAGTGCTATTTTATATTTTACAACTTTATTAGATGAAGTAAAGAAAGAATAATAATAATTGTATGTTTTCAGAAGGCACATTAGAAAAAAAAAAAAAAAAAAACACTTTGGAAACTGTCAAATCCTAGATACCTCCCATGATATGACTGTGATGGTTTAAAATATTAACACTAATATATACAACATATATATATATATATAATTATATAGTTTAATTTGCAGGATTTACTAGTTTGTTTACTAAACAACCCAAATCATTGGTCTCTGTCATGCTATTAACAACAGAAATTATTAGCTTAAGTATCAATGACCAATTCAAAAGAGGTAGTGGTACTGCCTAGAAATAAATAACAAATCCACACTAGATCCTGCTGTTTCCCAGGTATTCAAAATGCAACACATCCAAAAATCCATGCCAAAGAATAGACAGCTATTAGGAATGCTGCTGAGCAGGGCAGAAAACTGAATGCTAGAAGTACCCCAAAATTCTCGTTCCTGCAGTCCATCACCTCCTGCAGTCTCCGTGCCCACTACAATAGGGAGTTAGTAAGTGTAAACCACTTATGGCTGAAAGCCATTAAAAAATGTGTTTTGAAAGAGACTTGGCATGCGTTTTGATGCTCCCTTGTCAAAGTATCTCAAATTTTGTATTCTAGGTCACTTTTCCATTAAAATTCTGCAAAAAGACCAATTTTGCTTTGGGGAAGTTATATCACAAAAAGTAAAGTTTGCATCCTTCTTGCTGAGATTAATTTCACCTAGAGAGACTTGAAACTTCCATGCCAGTGAGCTCACACAGATACCATAATCCTCCTGGAGGTATTTCTGAAAACACAAGTCATCAAGAATGCTGAGTTAAATTTCTAGTGGATGTTCCTTTGCATCCTATGACTAAGAGCAACCTGCAGATGCCGGCTCTCAATATTATAATATGCTTAAAGTCCCAGTAGAAGGAAATTAGGGAACTACCATGGCAGTCCTTGCCCTCATCACCAAGGCTGCCACTCTAGCCACAGCTTTGTACCCCCTCTGCTTTGACCCTGGCAGTCAAACTCTGTGTCATAGTACAAGGCTGAAAACCTTTTTGGGGTTGAATAACCCATTTCCTGATTTATGACTGCAGATATAAGACAGAAAAACTAGTACATGCAGAATTTAGGCCTTAAAACAGACACAATTTTAATATCAATACCTTATAACGGTGAGTAAAGGTCCTGCAATGCTCATTGCTAAGCTCTGGAGCTTGATAACTCGGGGCAAGGGTAGGACTGCTTGTGATAAGAGCCAAAGCATTCGTGTGCGCCAGACTGTCAGAGCATTCCTGGAAGCCAAGCGTGTGATCACTCCCTCAGAAGAACCATGTTAGAAATACCTGGAAATCTCTGTCGAGACTGTGGCTCTCTAAGGTTTATCAATTTTTCCTATGAAATTTACAGTCTAAAGTTGAGGTAAGTCTGTGGTCTAGAAAGTGCACTATAAATCATCCCCTGGGAGGCAGGTCTCATTGCTGCATGCAGCCATGCTGAAGAACTTGTGTTTTGGTGCTGCAAAGCCCTCAGGGCTCCACAGGCAGTGGTGGCCAAGTGAACCACTCGGATTATTGCTGCACCAGTCCTCCAAGTGTCCTCTTCCCAAAGCAGCTGTGAGGACAGAGCTTGTGCTCCCTGCCTGGGAAGTGTGTCTGGGGTATTTGCGGAGGGAAAACTTTTTGCTTTTCAACATGAAGTCACTTCTGGTTTGGAGTTTAGTGATATTTTTTATTTTTATTTTTTCATTTGACTTGGCATACATGACCATTACTGACTAGCAATGAGTCTCAAACCACCCATGTCACTGGCAGCATCCTCAGCTGCCTTTTTGGACTCCAGAAACAAAAAGGAAATACGTTGCCACCCTTGCGCATTCCCACAATACAGCAAGATGCATATGGAGCATCAAATATGCCATGGAGAAGACCATTCTTCAGTCTGTTCCCAGCCCACTTGCCCATTATCTCATATCCCTAAAATCTAGTTTTGATGGTCACCACAGCTAACAGTGGATCAAACTGACCTTGTCCTCAAAGCACAAAGACAGAAATCATTAGGAAGGAGCTTGCATACTGCAGCTATCCCAGATGCTCAGTGTTTAGCTTGGGAGAGCAGGGCTCTGCTTAGGAGGAAAGCAGTAACGAGATCTGTGCTAGGAGTAACCAACCCAACTTCCTAGCACAGGTGGACACAAACAGGCAGACTCCTCTGGCCCCCAGAAGGGCACAAATGTCCTACAAGTTTGGTCAGCACTAGGAGCAGTTGAGATGGACACGATGGTCACTGCTGTCTGTGCCCTGGTCAACACAGTAAAATAGACAGGGCTACCCTCTCCAGCAGACCTTGCTTTCTTTCCCTCCCCTGGTACAAGAGAGCAGTGGTCAGGAAACGTGCCGTGCATCCCAGGCCAGCTCACACCTCCTTTCTCACTCCAGCCTAGGGTGGAGAGCAGGGCTCAGCTCTTTGCCCTTTTCTCACAACCCCTCATAACACAGAGCATAGTGTGGGCTCCCCTGGCCCCAGCAGATGAATTCAAAACAAGGCTGTGGCTGTGCTGTTTCCACAGCTCATCTGAAATCAGCCTAATCTTATATACAGAGGATAGAGCCCAGATGGCAGTGCTCACAGCTGTGTCTGACATGAAGGTGAGTAAGCTTAGATTTGTGAGCAAGCCACCCAGCTGGCAGGTCTGTCTGGGGGACTGCTTCAAAGTGCACGAGGGAGAAGCCCACACACCATGAGCGGATTTGGTCATCCTTATGATTACCTCCTGGGGACAGACAAGCTTCTTCTATGTTAGAGAGGCAGAGGTAACATTTTAGGAAAATGTTACACATGCTGATTCAGGTAGTATCTTTTGGCCTGGAACAGTGCAATCCATAGGACTTCAAAGCCATGAGTGCATTCAAAGTGGGTGTAAAAGCTACCACAAAAGAGAGCAGAGGAATACGAGTGTCTCTTCAAATGCAGGGCTATGTGCAATACAACATCAGTCAGCCAGAAATAAAAGTTAGTGCTGTTCAGACACAGTTGTAAGGACTGTAGTATGTGGATAAAAGAGGGATGTTTCACATCCTTTCAGAGACTACGGTCTCTGTAGTGGTCTTTTGTATCCCTTGGAAGAGACAGATCCCTCCAAAGACTATTCACATCATGAATGTTAGCAGATCCAGAAGAGCTCCACTGATAAGTAGAAAACTCAAGGCATCAGCCCCCACCCCCCCAGCCAAAATGCCACAAATCCCCCACGAGCAGCAGGGACTGTGTTCTCTTTCCTTACTGAAAGGCATTACAGGTCTTCTGGGTCCTAACAAAGCAACACACGAAAAGGCCGTAGGTTCCTGTTTGAGGTGAAGGAATCAAGAAGCATGTCAGTCATCAGTCCATGTCATGATAACCAACCAAGGAATGCAGGGCAGAAGACAGTACCACTTTCACCTTGCATAAACGTGTTGAGAAAGAAGAGACACCCCCCCACACCCCTCCATATGGCAAGAGTCTCACCCAGCACCCTGAGAGTAGGGATCAGTCCAAAGTTTTGAGAGCACATCTTCTCCTTGGGTTACAAAAATAAAATAAAATAAAATAAAATAACAGTAAGCATATAATTGTGTGTCATTCCCATCCATTTTGATGTGGAGCATCTGCCCATTTGTGCT